TTTTTGGGTCAGTCGTGGGAAACTCGGCCTGGGCACTGTCCCTCAGCTCTTCAGCTTAAGGCTAGTGCTCTACCACTTGAGCCACAGCACCACTTCCAGCTCTTTCTGCTTATATGATACTGAGGAATTGAACCCAGGGCCTCATGCATGCAAGGCAAGCACTCTACCACTGAGCCACCTTCCCAGCCCCTCATGATTTTTATCTACACATGTATTTGTGAGGAAGGCCATTAGCTTTAGACTGAGTGTACTATCACATCTCAATCCGCCAGCTGGTTAGTTGGTTTTATCTACAAAGTATGTCTTAGTTTTTTTTTTTTTGTCCGTCGTGGGGCCTGAACTCGGGCCTGGGTGCTGTCCCTCAGCTCTTCAGCTCAAGGCTAGTGCTCTAGCACTTGAACCACAGTGCCACTTCTGGCATTTTCTGCTTATGTGGTGCTGAGGAATCGAACCTAGGGCCTCATGCATGCAAGGCAAGCGCTCTACCACTGAGCCACCTTCCCAGCCCCAGTATATCTTAATTTTATCTGATTGATTGTCTGCATCCTGTCAGCTCCTCTCACTTGCTTGGGCCATTGCCTTTGTGTCTCTTCTAATCTGTTCTGCCTGCACAGGCATGTATGACTTTTGTAAAATATGTAGCTCCCTACTAAGCTAAGAAGTAAGAATAAAGCTGGTAAATCTTTTTTTATTTTTTTATTTTACAGTGCTTGGGCTTGAGCCAGGACCTCAGGCATCATAGGCAAGTGCTCTACTGCTGAAACAGGCATCCTCCCTGAATCCATGGTTCACACCATGGCCCAGGTCCTGGGTAATTTGGGTTCTGCCTAATTCTGCCATCTGTTCTAGTATGGCTCTGCCCCTCAGCCACACAGCTGAAGCCACACAGGATTTTGGCTTGTCTTTGAACATGCATGGCAATTTCTAGTCTCAGGGCTTTTGCTTTGAAATATTTGAATGACTGGCTCATTTTCATTCCTAAGATTCTATCTTCAGAAAAGTCTTCTTTAAGCCTGTTGTCTCCCCCCTCGTTCCCACCTCTACTTATTTGTTCATAGAACTCTTCCCCAGTTTCAATTTGTGTGTGCGTGTGTGTATGTGCTTGTATGCGTGTGTGTGTGTGTGTGTGTGTGTGTGTGTGTGTGTGCACCTCTCCTGGGGCTTGAACCTAGGGCCTGCTCATGAGCTTTTTTGCTCAAGGTTCTGCCATTTGAGCCACAGTTCCATTTCTGGAGGTAAGAGACTCACAAGCTTTCTTGCCCAGGTTGGCTTTGAACTGTGATCCTAAGATCCCAGTCTCCTAAGTAGCTAGAATTACAGGCACGAACTATTAGCATCTGGCTCCCAGTTACAATTTTTATGTATTTGCTTACATTTAATGTGTGTGTGTGTGTGTGTGTGTGTGTATGCATGCACGGGTGCATGCATGTGTGTGAGTGAGTGTATAGCATTATACCCTCTTTCAAGAGGATAAATGCCTTGCCTGTCTTTTTTCTATCTTCTACATGTCAGAGAGTGGAGTAGATATTCCACTGTCTACTTATTTGTCCATCCACCTACCCATCTACCCACACACCCACCGACATATAGGAACAGTCATTTGTTACTTTATGATGGGGATCTATCCTGAAAAATGCATTGGTGTTTGAACATCATGGACTGTATGTATACAAACCTCGATGTTAGGGGTGAATTATTTGACATGGCCTTGTGATACAATCAATATATACAATATATATATACACATCGGCTGCTACATGCAGAGAATGCCTTTTACATTTTAAAAAAATTATTAGAAGGAATACGCAAAACAATTAAAACCATAATACAGTATAGTAAACACATGACTGTAACAGTCATTTGTTATCAGTTCTTTATTGTCATTATTGAACATTATAGGTAGTATATAACTACAATAGGCAGTACAGGAGGTTTGTTACTCCAGTGTCAGCACAAACATGTCATGTGTTGGGTCCGTGTTACATACTTCCATGGCCATGATGTTACTAGGTGGTAGGAATTTTTCAGCTCAGTGTTAATGTTTTTTAACCCTAGTGTTTGAGGATGGAGCCCAGGGCCTTGCCGTCCTTGGCAAGCTGCCTACCCAACCTGCCTCACCTTTCTTGTACCTGTCCTGGGGTTTGAACTCAGGGCCTAGCATTGAGATTGTGTTTTTTTTCCCCTCAAGGCTGGTATTATACCACTTGAGCCATAGTTCTACTTACAGCTTCTTGCTGGTTAACTGGAGGTAAGAATCTCATGGACTTTCCTGCCCAGTCTAGCATCAAACCAGAATCCTTAGATGTCATCCTCTTGAGCAGCTAGAATTACAGGTGTGAGCCACAAGCACCTGGCTCCTAGCCCCCTTGTTGACCACCATCATGTATGCTTGTGCTCTGTTATGTGGTAAATGGGTGTGTGTGTGTGTGTATTAAATGAAGACCTAAGTATTACCCTTTTCTTATTTCCCAGTTGTAGGGTTATGTTCCCAGTGAGGTCCTGAGCTGTTTGTGGGTATGAGCTGAATCTTACACATTTCCTCCCCCCACACTCTTTTTTTGTTAGTTGTAGGACTTGAACTCAGGGCCTGGGTGCTGTCCCTGAGCCTCTTTTCTTTTTTTTTTAGGTCCGGTCATGGGGCTTGAACTCTGGGCCTGGGCGCTCTCCCTCAGCTCTTCAGCTCAAGGCTAGTGCTCTAGCACATGAGCCACAGCGCCACCTCTGGCTTTTTTCTTTTTTGCTTATGTGGTGCCGAGGATTCGAACCCAGGGCCTCATGCATGCAAGGCAAGCGCTCTACCACTGAGCCACCTTCCCAGCCCCTCCCTGAGCCTCTTTTGCTCTAGGCTATCCTCAATTGCTACAGCTTTTTTTGAGTAGTTTATTGGAGATAAGGATCTCACAGACTTTCTTACACGGGCTGGCTTTGAGTGGTGATCATCAGATCTCAGCCTCCTGAGTAGCTAGGATTATAAGTGTGAGCCATAGTGACACATTTTTTTTTCTTTCTGTTTATTCTGTGTACTGAGCGAATCCTGAGTTTAATGGGCAGGACTTTGGGGATGTATACTCAGCCCTTTGGAAATGCCTCTGCTGGTCTTTAGCTTGTTCCCTGGTAGAATATTTGTTGACGATGCCTCAGGACTGGGATGGACTGGCCTTCACATGTCTTGTGTTCTCAAACGCTCCTTTGTCCCTCCATTCTCAGTCTTCTGCGAGGGAGAGTGAAGATGCTTAAGGAGCGCCCAGGGATGGCGGAAGAGCCTCAGCAGCACATGGGGGTTCCTGTGGTGAAGCTGGAGAAGGAGCTGCCCTGGGGCAGGGCGAGGGAAGACTCCAGTCCTGAAACCTTTCGTCTGAGGTTTCGCCAGTTCCGCTACCAGGAGGCAGCTGGTCCCCAGGAAGCCCTTAGGGAGCTCCAGGAGCTCTGTCGCAGGTGGCTGAGGCCAGAGTTGCACACCAAGGAGCAGATCCTGGAGCTGCTGGTGTTGGAGCAGTTCCTGACCATCCTGCCCCGGGAGTTCTATGCATGGATTCGGGAGCACGGCCTGGAGAGTGGCAAGGCACTGGTGGCCATGGTGGAGGATTTGACGGAGAGTGCGCTGGAGGCCAAGGCGGTGGGTGAGAAGAGGGCCTCCAGGTCTTGGTTGGCGTGGGGCCTAATGAGTGGAGAGTATAGAGGAAGTGGATGAGGCAGGAGTCTCCACAAGAAGAGCCATTCCCAGGGAAGATGCTGGTGTGTCAAAGGACTGCGATGTGATTATTCTGAGTCCCCCCACAGACCCAGCCCTTCTTGGGGGGGATAGTGCAGGGGCCTATAGCTGTGCTGTCTGCATGTCTGGGCCCCTGTGACAGAGCTGTAGTGCTGTTCTCATGGTATGAAGGACTTACCATATGCTGCTTCCAGACTCTGGTTGTGTTTTGGTCACTGCAGTAGTCATTTGACAAGTCCCATGCTTGCCACACTGCTGGGGTCCCTCTTGTCTCGCCGGAGAGTCCTAAGCGAATTTGATTTTCACTCTCAACAACGCAGGGGCTTAGAAGTGGGCTAGGAGGACTTTGTTTTGTGGCTGTATCTTAGAGTAAGGTCCTCCCTTCACTCCCTCCTTCCTCCCTCCCCTGGCCTCTCTCCAGGTTGTCCTCTTTGTAGAGCAGCTGTTTCTCACTGATCCACTGTAGACTGTAGGCATTGTCTTTTTTCTTTGAAACTTCAGCTTTGTCAGCTTAGGAAATTTTTCTTGCAGTGAATGTGGTGCAGTTTTGGGCTGTCTGTGATGTGGAGCATGGGGATTCTGCCTCTGAAGGCAGCAGAGGGACCCTTGTCAATTGGCTTGCACAGATCCAAGTTGCTCTGGGCTCCATACAGGGAGTTGAGCTTCCTTTCCAACTTTTCTGCTGCCCTGGGAAAAACTCCCTCTCTGAAGCCATGGGGTCCTTTCCTTGGTTCCCTTAGTAGGTTTCAATTCAACTCCCTTCTTTCTTTTTTTTCTTTTTTGTGCCAGTCCTGGGGCTTGAACTCAGGGTCTAGGTACTATCCATGAGCTTTTTTACTCAAGGCTAGTGCTCTACCACTTGACCCACAGCTCCACTTCTGGCTTTTGGGTGGGTAATTAGAGATGAGAGTCTCAGAGACTTTCTTGCCTAGGCTGGCTTCAAACCTTGATACTTAGATTTCAACTTTTACTGGGTAGCTAGGATTATAGGCATGAGCCACTGGTGCCTCATCTCCTTTCTTAATGGCCTTGACCAATCCTGATACTAATTGGTGTTGGGGACTGTCCTCAGGTTCCATGCCATGTGCTGGGAGAGCAGCAGGAGACAGCCCTTGGCCAAGGCTCTTGGGAGCCAGGGGTTCATCTGGGGCCAGTGGAGGTTAAGCCTGAGTGGGGGATGCCCCATGCGGAAGGTGTTCAAGGCCTAGACCAAAGCACCGACGAACAGCTGAGTCAACATCGTGGGGACCGGACACAGGCGTTTCCGGAGCAGGGTAAGACGCAGATGGTGAGGACTGAGGAGCCTGGAAACAGTGCCCTATGGCCAGCCTCCTTTAGAAATCCAGTAGAGGTAAACTGAGTTACCTGCAAGGTGTGACTGAATTCCCAGCCACTTGGTCAACCGAACTGAACACATGGTGTCTGGAGGGGATGGTGGAGTTAGTGTTCCTTCTCCTTTCCCTTACATCCCTTCTAGAAAACACTAGGAAATGTGCAGCTGACATCAGAGCACACCCATATGTGACTTTGTTTTCTCTCAAAGAGAGTTGTTCATGAGTGTGACCAGGGAGTTTGACTGACCCTGAAGAGCTAGGACAGTCAGACCCCCACCCCTGCCCCCGGATGTGGGTCACTCTGGGGCCTGTGTGTTCCTGAGCTGTTGTGTGTTGAATGGGTGATGCCTTTTAGAATGGACTGACTGACAAAGTGCTAATCCTTCTGTCTTTTCCATCCCTGCTCAGCGCTGCCTATCCTCCCGCCAGGTCCATCTCTCCCCACAGTGAGTGCCAGAGAACAAGAGATGGCAGCTGGGTTCCTTACAGCAGGATCCCAGGTGAGCAAGGCTTCCTCCTCTTTTGGAAATCCTGATCCTGCTTAGACTGGGGTTCTCGTTCCCTGAGGTTTTATGCTGTCCATAAAGCCAGCCACTGCCTTCCTAGCTGTGATGGCTCTACCACGTTGTTCTTGCTACTTCATCATGGTCCGTGGTTAAACACACCAGCTTATGCTTGGACCCCAAATCCCAGACTGAAAAAGAAAAGCTCCAGATTAAGAAAAAAAAAAAAAGACAATGTAGCATCCACTAGTTTGGATTTTGCAGTCTGTCTGCCTCAGCCATCCGAGTGCAGGGATTACAGGTATGGACATCATACCTGGCTGAAGTTCCAGACTGACTGTGGCTGTTATTTTCTTCCTCATGAGAGGAGAGATTGCTACTGAGGAAAACCTGTGTATGGGTCTGGGGAAACTGCTTGTTTGGAAATAGCTGCCTTTTGTGGCACTGGGCCCTGAGTGGGGGGTCCTGGGTGCTAAGCAGTGTCTCTGGCTCACACTTGTCTTTCAGGAATTGGGGTCTTGTGAACATGTGAACCTGCCACACACAGGTTAGGGTTCGTGAGAAACAGAGCTTCTTGCCACAGCTTGAATCTTCTACAGGGTTTACAGAGGTGCCTTTTTGAGTGGGGCAAGTGTTAAAAATATCTTTAAAAAGCCATACCTTTAGTAAGTTATATTGTTATATACTTGTACTCTCAACTTCTCTAGAAGCTGAGGCAGAAGAATCATGAATTAGAAGCTAGCCAGTGTTCTTTGATAAGGGAAAGGGGTTATTTGGTAGAAAAAAAAGGTGTACATTGGACCCATTGGGAGCTGCCTGTGGAGAGACTTGATGCCTTTGCCATTCCCCATTTGATTTCCAAGGACATGGTTTGCAGGGTGTAGGGAAGGGTGTGGGCAATTCTCCCTGTGTTCAGAGCCTCCCTTCACCCTAGTGGTTCCTCACGTTGTAGTGTGACACAATTGTTAAAAAAGTTGCATTTATGTATTTTCTTTTTATTAGTATATACTAGTTGTCCATTAAACTGTATACCGTATCCCCCAGCCCACTTGACTTTTGGCATAACAACATGGCATTATGCCTAAGACAGCAGCTTGGGGCTCTGAAGCATGAGGGCGGATGTGGGATGCCCAAGCTGAACCAGCTGAGCACTCCCTTAAGCTGTTGGGAGGTGGGTTGTTTCTCTCCAGGGCATCTGCCTTCCTTTGCTGAGTCCTTCCTGTGTGCCCCAAGGAGCACTTTCTGGGGACTCCTGCATGTTAAGCTAGTGCGTGGCCACTTGAGCTACACCCTAGTCTTTTGGTTTGTATTTTTTCTCTCTCTCTTTCTATGTGTGTATGTGCCAGTCCTGAGACTTGAACTCAATGTCTAGGTGCTTTCCTTGAGTTGGGTTTTTTTTGGGGGGGGTGTTGGTTTTTTTTTGCTTAGGGATAGTGCTCTACCACTCGAGCCACAGCTCCACTTCTGCTTTTTGCTGGTTAATTGGAGATAGTAGTCTCATGGAGTGTCTTGCCCAGACTGGCTTTGAACTGCAGTCCTCAGATCTAAGCCTCCTGAATAGCTAGGATTACAGGCATGAACCACTGGCACCTGGCTATATTTTCTTTTCTTTCTTTTTTTTTTTTTTTTTTGTCGGTTGTGGGCCTGAACTCTGGGCCTGGATGCTGTCCCTCAACTCTTCAGCTCAAGGTGAGCACTCCACCACTTGAGCCACAGTACCACTTCCATTTTTTTCTGCTTCTAGCGGTGCTGAGAATCGAACCCAGGGCCTCATGCATGCAAGG